CCCACGCTGAGGGGCTAAGCCTGCTCAGGCTCTGTGCAAGACCTGATCCTCAGCTATGGCATGGAGCAGTGTGAGAGCTACTTGGGCATCCACCTGCAGGGGAGCTCCTCCAGCAGCCTTGTCTTTGGAAGCGTTTGTGTCCCCAGCCCTAGGAGTGACCATGGAACACAAATGATTCAAGGTATAAGGTCTGCTACTGGAGGCCTCCCTGAGGTCTGTGTGAATAGAATGGGTTTAAACAGCTCCTGGGGAAGGAACACACCAAGCTAAGCAAAGAATGGGGCTTATTGTATCCAGTGGCCAGAAGGACCAAACGCGTCTGAGAGACAAAGTGACAACCAGAGACCTCCTGTGCAATTAGTCTCTTGACCTCTGTGATTCAGGAAGGGGATGCTGGGAAGGGAGCTGTGGATCACAAGGCCCCAAGGAAGGTTTCCTTGACAACACTTACTGAAGAAAAATGAGGTTTCATGAATGCAGCGTGCATTAGCACGTGAGATGCTGACTTTAGAAGAGGCAAGGACGTGGCAACCAGCAAACAAGCCCATCAGTTAGGGGGATGTGAAGCAGCAGCTCAGTGAATTGCTCTTTTTCAGAAAAACTTAATTAAACAGCTATTAAGACCATTAATATTTATTTAGAAATGCAGTCACTGTGGTGAAAGCAAGCTTACCGTTTAACTCAATGATTTTTCTACCCATGAAACCAGACAAGTATGTAGCACTGCCAAACTTGAGCTGTTTTGGGAGAATCCAAAAAAAAAAGATACTTGTGTTCAAAACTTAAATAGATAGATTTTAAAATGAGACATCTGAGGCTTTCTTAATTTCTTCCTGCTGTTTCTGCTAGCTGCACTCAAACATTCATCTGTATATGATGTCTCACAGGGATAGCAGTGCTGTGACTTTGCCCTGAAATCAAGCCATCAACCAAAATACCGCAGGAAATCAATGCCATTTTTTCCTCAAGAAAAGGCCCGTGACCTTTTTCAGTGAAAGTCTTGGCCGCCCTGATAGTGTTTGCACAGCAGACAAACAACGAGCATCTCCTTAAAAAGCAAAGCCAGTTGGCAGGAAGTCAAAAGCTGAGTCAACGGATGGGGACTGAGCCAGACAGACTGAATGTAGCAGGGTATGGTGGGACCCACGGGAGCAGCTTGGGGACTCTTGCAGTTCAGGTAGGTGGGAAAGTAAATACAGGGCTTATGTCACACATTTTGCCCGTGTCTGAGCTGTAGGTGCACGCATGGAGATCAGCTGGTACAGGTAGATGTGAGTTGTTTGTCTGCATCCTTTCCCCCTCAGCAGTGTGCAGGCACAGGGGGATCAGGCTGGGCTCCCCAGCTAGCCAGTGTGACAGGAGTAACAGAAGATGAAGGTTTGACTATTGAGATCCAAAAGATCATGAGAATTTAAACAAGCCACCTCCAGCCCATGCTGAATGGCTCAGAGTTTCCTGCTGGCATCAGCATCCACAGGTGACACTGCCCTGCCAGACCCATCCCAAACAGGGGGTGTTCAGTGAGAAGCTGTGCCACATTTTGAGAAGACCATGAGCACATCCCCTCTAGCTGGTTCACAGAACCTTTTGCAGTGCGTGAGCTATAAACTCTGCTTTCCCTCCATTCTTCTCTTTCCCAGCTGTATCAGTGAAGGGCAGCCCAACAGAGAGCTTTAGCTCGTTTTGTTTGCCTGGCTAACAAGCCCTTCTCATGCTCATTTGCTGTTCCAGTTTCACTCGGATCAGCAGAAATGAGGTTTATTTCAGGAGAAGGAAGCCTGCCACAACCATTCAGATTTTAGTACAGCAACAAATCATTTAACTCAAGGAGTGAAAGGTAAAAGTGTTCTATGGTCTAGAGAAGCAAAAAGAGCAGAAGAAATACTATTTTTTAATAAGAATAGTCATAAAGAAGAAAAAATTATTCTTCCTGATGGAAAGGTCCTGTCATTTTTGAATGGGCAGAAACCTGTGCCACAATCTGTGAAATTTCTCTTTACAACCAATACCTCTAGACTATAATAGGGTTTCTCAATAGAATAGCATGAATCACCCATTATAAAGAATGCTACAGCAAAGATATGGCATTTCCCTCACTCACCAAGGGGGGCTGCAAAGAGGCTCAGTGTGAGAGTGCAGGTCTGTTGGCACATGTGGGCAGGGGCAGAGCTGCCCTGCCGTTGCTGCCAAGCTGCAAGCACCAGGCAGGAGGGGTACAACTGCATTCCTTAGCTCTGCTGTGCCATTACCAAGCCTAGATCCAGGCCAGCTTAGTGAAACATCAGCCCTGTGTACCTGCAGATCTCAGTGGCATTTAATGTGTGTGCTTTGCACACAGAACTGAAGTGTAATGAGTGAAACGGTTGTTTATCTATTCATTTATAACAAATGCTTTCTTAATTATCCTGGATTCCTAGGGGGATAGGGACCAGCTCAGTGTAACTTTGCATTTCTAGCAGCTGGATTGCAGCACAACCTAACCACCTGCATGTCCATAATACAGTGCTAGTGAGTTTCATCAGCAACATTTGAGTTTGCCATCAATGCCCATCCTATGTAACATTGCTTCTGTTCATATAAATGAGGAAACACCTTGTCTGAGTGCTCACATCATCTAAATCATACCAACTGCTCCTGCTCCCTTAGCTGAACTGCAGGCAGGCACAGCTGAATCATCTCTGCAACTCTCAGGGACACAGAAACGTTTAAAAATGCAGGAAAAAGAGCAAAGGAAGATAAATCAGGACAGAAACAACTTGGAGATCAGGGCAATTGTAGGAAGAAAATACGATCTGAAGCTAATGTCCAAGATCATTAGGAAAAGTGCAGTATGATCAAGGGCGAGTGGCCTCTCCATGAGTTGTGCAAAGGTGGTTTAGCTTGCTGTTCCTGAAAGAACTCTTCTCACTCTGTGGTCATGGGAATCAGGATCTTCAGGATGGTTGGGTACCACTCTGTTCAAAACCCAATGGTCTCCCAGGTCAAGACAAGCCAGGAAACATCAAGATGCCAAAGGGCAAGCTTTCCCCTTTTACAAAGCCTAATGAGAAATATTCATTTGTGAGAAGAAAACACGTTTCTAGACATGGATGCCCTGATTCTTGAGTGCTAATGTATACAGACTGTATCTTTATCCCCTTTGGGGGCCTGAAGGCAGGAGGCGAAGCTGAGCAGCACAGAGCATTATCTGTGCAGAACACAGAGTCCCTTGGCTCAGTGACACGCAGCCATGCCATCTCTGTGCAACACATGCTCTCACACTAATGGGACACACAAAGCCAATTAAATGCCTGATTGGATGAAGCGGTCACAGTCAAGTGACCCACTGCCAGCCAGTCAGGATTCAAAGTTTCCAAATATCATTAAGGTATGTGCCTTAATCCCCTCCTAAAAGATTAAGCGTTTAACCTCTTACTGCTGTTTCTGATGAGATACAGAAAATCTCCCTCCTCAGGGGGACCAGGCACAGCAGTGACATGAGCTGTCCTTGCCCTGTGCTGGCCCAGAGGCTGCACACAGCCACGATGCACATCTCATGGCATTTTCCTACTACTTCAAATTGATCAGGATTGCTTCAAAGGGGAAGCTAATTCATTTGCAGATGAGACAGATTTTGAGACTGTCACTGTTCCCTCCTGGTCTCTCCATATCTCCACACCCCTTTGCTGGTGAAGAGATGCCAATGAGCAAAGCTGCTTACTGATTGATTTCCCTTACCCAGGGCCAATATGGATTTCTTTGAAACAGAGATTTTTGTTGAACTTCCAAGATAATGTTGAGAATTGCAATGTCTTTCCAGCCCCAAAGGGATGTGATGGTGATTTCCCTGCTGATTTGAGAAGGAGCTCCCCTCTGATAGATGTGGTTTCCTTTATCATGCAGTGGGATGGGGACCTGCAACCACTCATGTCCAGAAGTCATTACAGAAGTCCCAATGCTTGGCCCCTGGCTGCCATTTTAAAGCCAAACCAGGAAAAGATGTCACATCTCATACTTGATTACACATAGCAGACAAGAATCATCCAGCTCTTAAAGTCTAATTAATAGTTAAATTTAGGTGAAAATAAACATGAAAAGTCATGATGTAATTGCAACATGCTACCCTGATAATTAAACGCCTAGAAATCTTGCAATAAAAGGTGCTCTTTGAAATCTGCTGGAAAAAGTCTCAGGAGCCCTTTTGCCCTCTCCACTCGCTGTTTCACCTGTAGACATAACATTTAAAGGTGGTGGAGAAATTAAGGCTAATGCAACTGGGTGCTGGTTTTGCTCTTACAGCTGCATGCATAACACAGTGGTTCAGAACCAGATAAGTAATTGCTTGCCTGATACACAAACAGCATGTTACAAATGAAAAGCACATTCCAATGCAAATAAGCTTGGAAAGCAACCCCAGCACCTCAGTGCTGATGGAGTTTTATTTCTAGAACATAGTACTAGCCTTGAACCAGGTTATTAGCACTGGAAGGGAACACAGTGTGTCCTGGAAAGCCACTGTGTTTGCAGAATTTCATTGCTGGATGGCAGGATTTTCTGTTGGGGGAAGGCAGAAGGGAGAGTTTTCTCCTCCCTCTCACCTTGATGGATGTGTGCTGCAGAGCAGAAATCTGAGAGGTGTCAGGAATGATGGAGTGATGCTGAAAGCTCTGATAAATGAGTTCTTGAAAGTCCTGTTGCAGCCATTTAAGGTGTTACTGTCTCACTGCCAGGGCTGCCTCCCCATTGCAAAGTGCATAGAATAGAGGACATGCCCCCACTTAGGAACTGGAGCTCATGGTCCACATTAGCTCAGCCACAAGAGGGAAAGGGAGGGGTGTGAAGAAGGGGAATGTAGATACATGTTCTGTGCTACTGACTTGGTTCATAGGAAGTAAATTGCTTTGGGATGGCAGTAATGACTTCAGCTTCTGCAGTGATTTGCTCAGGGAGCATGTAAAAACCTTGAGAACGAACGTTGTGAGTCCTGAAGCTGTAACTCTCTTTTTTCTTTTCCCTTCCAGCTTGCTGCATTAGAGAGGCAAGTGTTTGATTTCCTGGGATACCAGTGGGCTCCTATCCTAGCCAACTTCCTCCACATCATCATTGTTATCCTTGGCCTGTTTGGCACCATTCAGTACCGACCTCGCTACATAGTGGTGGTAAGTAATATCTGCTTTGTTGTGAGCCTTTCCTCTGGTGGGACACAGCAAGTGATGAGGAACCACGTAAAGCCCTTGGGAAATCAGGCATGAGCACTGCAAACAGTTTTAGCAGGAGGTGCCTGGCTGTGCTAAAGAACACTTTGTTCAGTGTTTGGAATTTCTGCTGTAGTTGCTCCAAACTTGGAAGATTTCAGATGATTATTACTTGTACACAAAGACACCATAAAACAAAGAGGGAGAAATAGATGCTGGACAAACATGTGGCAGGAGCTCTTCTACCTCCTCCAGCACTCTGCACCCGTGCCTCTAATTAGGTAGAGGACCTTCTGCATATGAGAAACAGAGGAACAGAAAAAGATGACGGTGCTGACTCAGTGCATTTAACTGCCCCCAGCTGAAATATATGTATGTGTATATGTATAAATATATATATAAGCTGATTCCAGTGACTTCCTCATGTTTATTGCTTCTCTCTCCCTCCTGTTCTCTTTTAGTATGCCATCTGGACTGCAGTTTGGGTCACCTGGAACATTTTCATCATCTGTTTTTACTTAGAAGTGGGAGGGCTCTCAAAGGTGAGTGTGAGCTCTGTGAGTGCAAGCCCAGGCTTTGCTGCAAAGAGAACAGAGCTTAGTAGTGAGATAAGGGGGAGGGGGCTACCTGGGAACTAACCTTGCTTTCTCTAATATTGGTTGCTTTACTTGTGGTGGAGGATTAATGCTTATTGTATGGCAAGAATGAGGGGTTAAAAGTTCATCGGGAGCCCTTTGCTGGTTAGTGCAAGTAGTAGCTGGAATAAGTCCTGTTGGCATATGGGATAAAGTGTCTTTGCTTTTTAAAGGTAAGGGCAAGCCTGTCAGCAGAGCTATCCTGAGAGGAGATGGCATTTGAGGGCCAATTCCCAGCTGTGATGTAGAGGTGGCTGAGGAAGGCTGTGAGCTAACTGGATTATAGCTGATCCCCTTGTGATCTGATAGCACCTGGGAAGGAAGGTGTGCGATGGGAGAGGAAGACACTGGGGAGCAGTGAAGGAGCTTGCTTTCTTGAGGAGAGGTCCAGGGGGATTCAGTCTGGGCTCACATGGGCTGAGAACTTTGCTGGAACTTCTTCTCTAGTATCTCTTTATCTTTTACCTCCTGCTGAAGACCTGATGTCCCTCAACAGCAGGGATGGGTAGCTGTGGTGGATGCACTGGGCCAGGGATCTGCTGTTACACCTTCTGGGAACAAATAAAAGCACACAGGGGAGGATGGTGCATCTCTGAACACTGCCTCGGTGATGTGGCTTCTCTGTCTTAATTCTTCCTTCTTAGTTACAGTGGCCTCTGTCCAAGGGAGTTGTGAGCTACTGTGTCTCTTCAAAGATAGCTCTTTAAAGATGAAATGAGCTCACTGTTGCTGTCTGCTTAACAAGGGGTGAGTCAGAAATAATAAAAATGGGAAGCGAGCCCTAAGCTAAGCCTGGGCTGTGAGCGATGCATGCAAAGTGTTGCTGCAGCTTAGTGGACTAAGGGTGATTATGGGCTATGGGTTCACTTCAGAGCACTCTACATCTGGCCTGAATTCTCAGGTCATGTATCTAAGTTGCAGTCATAATTGGAACAGCATTTCATTTCTGTTTTTTTTAACAGACCTACAGTAAGTTGTGAGTGACAGCACAAATCCTTTGCAGATAAGAACATGTAACTTCTTAATTCCTCAGTTAATCTCCATTTCCCCTCACAATTATCCATAGAAACTTTGAGAGAGTTCTTGCCCAAAACAGCGATTACTCATGAGCTGGAAGCTCAGCCTGAGATGATCTTCATCTTGGCTGTGGCCAATTAAAAAACAAAACAAAACAAAAACTTATCTGTTTTAAAGCTCCCTTAGGAGAGAAAATAATGGCATAGAAAAACTGCTCGGGGAGCTTCCCTGACAGCAGTGTTTGCTTCCAGCCAGCTGATTGTTTGTGTTTACTAATCCCAACCTGCCCTACATCAGGTGAGGTGAGGCTGCTGTTCTGCAATTCAGACAGCATGAAAAACTCTGCTTTCTCCACTGCAGAGGGGCTTCACCTCATAACCTTGCTCTGCACTGTGGCTTGTTTCAGCAAAGTCAGTGCATAATGAACCTTTATTTGGCTCGTGGGATGATCACTATGGCTGGGAACTTCTGATAGATCTGGGCTTCTGTATTAGTTGTTACTGATGTGGTGGGCTCTCTATGGCTGCAATGAAAGCTTCATGTTGCTGGTTTAGTGGCAACGCTGGGGAAAACAAAACCAAATGCTGTTTGTGGTAAAATGCTTTACAGCCTTTTTTCTATTCCTCGTGAGTTGTTTCATTTTAAAAGTTGTTTCATTTTCTTGTCAGAAATACGATGCCTTCTTTCCTTTTCTTTGTAAGTCGTCCTGCAGTAAGCAGGACGATTCTAAGATTAGATTCTAAGTTTTAGAAGAAGGCCTCCAGCGTAGTGATGCTGGTCTGGTAAAGAGTAACTCATTAACTACTAAACTAAGCACAGGTATATCAGAGAGTATTTCAGACAAGTATTGCACAATTGCTTGGTCCACATACAAGGTTTTAAGGAGCTGATAACTCTGAGCAAGGTCTTCAGGTGCTGTTTCCTCTGATTCCTGAGGAGCCTGTGGGAGGGAAGTCTTCCTGCCTGGCCCCTCTGCTTTCCTGACAAGGGCCGCCTGCCAGGGAGATCTGTCAGCAGCTGGCTAATTTATAATGACAGAATGCAGGAAGGGCAGTGAGATAGAAAGGATGGGGTTTGTTAAGTTAGTGGCTGATAATGGCAGCCCAGTGCAACTGAAACAGGTGATAACTCAGATGGGCTGACAAAGGGGTGAAAGGACTCAAGTGGTTCTTCTGTAACAGGTTTAGGATGTGCCTGGAGAACTGAGGAAATAGTTATGATGGTGAGGTGGAAATGCTAAGTCACGGCTTGAAGCAGTGATGGAGCACATGGTGGGAAGGCAGGGCTAACGCAGGGGAGCTCAGCTGCATGCAGTGCTCCTGAGTGACTGGAAGGGGTGGAGCCAGGATCCCCTCATTTAAGGGTTGGCAATGGAGGTGAGGATATGTTGCTAAAAATTCTGGTATACCTGAGGCCTTCCAAGGCTAAGCGGTTTTTCCTTTGTTTCTGTGCCTGTGGTTGCTGCACTTGGGCTTATCCTTGCATGCTGCATCCTGGGACTTTTCCACCCTGCTATTATTGCTGTGTTTTCTATTGCACCATAGTGTTACAGATGGTCATATGCACTCATAGCAAGAAAATTGTTTGCTTTCATGACTAAACCCGCATTCATTGTGCTGAGGGAGTACAGGCTGCAGACAGAGTTATGCCATGTGAGACAGGGCTGTGGTGGGTACCAAAGCTTGCGTGGGTGCCTGGCTGAATGAATAAACAGAAACCAAGGTCACCACAGCTGTGAGTTCTGTGAGATGAAGCCCTATTTCAGCCCACAGACAAGTCAGAGTAAGGGTTGAGAGACTCAGCTATAAAGCCAGCGTTATCCATAGTACAAGGGCTGGTAGATGTGTGGTTGCTGAAAAGCACTTCAGGGGATTGCTGTTCACCTTCCTTTCTCAACCAATTGTTCCTGCCCTGCGCCTTTCCTCCTTTGAGTTGTCTGTCACTGCCCACCCTCTATTTATTTACTCCTGTATTTCCCAACATTTCCCAGAGTGCTTTATCCTCCAGGTTCCTCTAGCAGTGCTTGCTCTCTGCTGGCCACAGAAGCCCTGAGGATGGCTGTTCCAGCTGCCTCTGTTCAGTTATAGTGACTTGCTAACTGCTGCTATCCCCTAATCATTAGTTACAACTACCTTTTAAGGTTTGGATATATATATATTTTTTAATCTAAAGGGAAAATGTTCTTTCCTGCTCTGTGAATCTATTTTCTATTTCCTGGAAGAGCTAAGCTGGCCTGACTTCTATTTTTTCTATCCTGTTATTTCTTATCTTGCCATCTTTTCATAGTAGCAATAATGGAGTACAAAGTATGGCATAGGAAAACTTCATTAGGTGGACAGACACAAGTGGGTCTGCATGGGTGTTTAAGAAAACATTTCCTTTGTTGCTGGGAAAGGCCTCTAAGTGTGTCAGCATATGTCAGCTTTACTGGAAGTGCCTTGCCAGCGAGCAGGCAGGAGATGCAGCAATCTGGATTTGAAAAGCTGCTTCTCAGCACCAGCAGTGAGATGGTGCTACACCTCTGAGAGGCTCTTGGCAGCTCTACCTCTGCTCAGAGTTCTGAGCACACTTGTAGTGTGTGGGGGAAATTTTGTCTTTACAAGGTCAGCAATGCTGCTCTGTATCACTGTGCTTGGTGGGACTCCCAGATAGCCCTCTCTTCAGACTGCTTTTCCTCTTCCTCTGGTTTGTTCCTTTTAATCTCTCTCTTTTTTTTTTTTGCCTACCTAGCCATTGGAAGCTATCTTCTTAACATGTAGGCTGTGTCTGAAATAACATGCTACGCTGCCTACTCGCTGCAGAGCACACTGCTGCAACACCCTGGTATGAGTTGTCTCTTTGAATTAATAATTAAAGTCATGCTGGTAAGACATATGAGCATTGGTCTGTCCAGCTGCAGTGCTGATAGACTTTTCATCATGAACTTCAGAAGTGCTCGGAGAGGCTTGAGGAATTGCTATTAAGGAATTGCTATTGTGTGTTTCAACTGCTCCCTTTGTCTCTTCTCCCTGGAATTATTCATTTTGTAAAGATGGTTTCTTTTTTTGTTTCTTTCCCCTTCCCTCCTTTATATTCTCTCAAGTCTACATAATGTTTCGATCTGAATTCAGAGACATGGTGGTCTAAATCTCCTCTCGAAACAAGAAGAAAAAGGAAACCCTTATGAGCCAGATGATGAGGGGGGAGGGGGTTGCAGGGGGAAGGTATTTTTATTCCAGAGAATCTGGATGGCGTCTCTGGGATGACTTTGTACCTGAATAAATCCTGAGAGGAGGATGGATAAAATGTATGCATAGCTACAATTGCGCCTCAACTCCACCTCAGTTTAGAAACTGGAAGCCTGAGCTTTGCCCTCCAGGTGCTGTGGCATGGTCAACAAGCCTGCTGAGAACCAACAGAAGCACTTCTCTGTTGTCTCAGGGTGATTAGGCTATTCACTGCATGTGATGTTCTGTAGGAAAACGTTACTTTTCCCCATCTGATAAAAAATATTTCCAAGTTAAAAGATGTAAAACGATTCTGCTGTCAAATTCTGGGGGCTCTCATACGGGGTTCACCTTGTTTCCTGAGCCATTTTAATGCTGTCTTCTCTGGTAATTAAGGAAATACTGGGGAGGGAATTCATAAGGCTGTTAACTAGATGTAAAAGCATCTCTGATTAGTCCTTTAGAAAATGCTTTTTTAAAAAGCTTTCAGAAAAAGAATATTTTTTAGAAGTAAGCTTACAAAACACAGCTGCCTTCCCTGAGTGTCAGAGCTAGGTGTGAGTTTCCCCATGGGAAACAGTGGGGTGAAGCTGGGAGCACAAAACAGACTCGCTAAAAGGCAGGCACAACAGTTTTAGTGCCGTCGTCTTCCTTCTCGCACTGATGGCAAATGGATAGCAACCAGGTGCTACAGTAGTTGAGAGAGAAATGTGGTTTTTGGCTGGCCTTCAACACACTCCTGGGAAGGAGCTCGTATCGCTCTTTGCTTGTATTTCTCTGGAGGCTGAAGGTTAAAGAGGAAGCGATAGCCCTTCAAATAGCATCCTGTCAAGGAACGAGGGGGAGTGTGGTTACACAGCTCCTCTCCCTGCAGCAGGGCTTGATCCCTTCTGGGACTCATTAGTATCTTTCAAGCTGCATGCTGTTTTTAAGAATATTTCAGTATGTTTAGACTTCAGATGCTGTACAGACAGGTTAGGAAACAGCTGTTTCCTAACTTTTCTTGTGATTGATCCTTTTCTCATGGTTTTAGTGTACCTTATTTTATAGTTTCGTTTCTCTTCAACCATCTCCTCACAAATGAAGCTGGCAATCCACAGGAGACATCCCAGAGTTGTTTTCCTCATCTCCTAGCAAGCACCGCACAACAGAAGGTCAATTAACTGATTTCCTTGAATGCTCTTTTATTATGCCTCATTCATGCAGGTATCCTCCAAGGAGATCCATCCAGGGACACAAGCAAAGGAACAGCACTGCTTTGCTTGTTGAGCTCCTTTCATTTGCACTGCCCTTGTGCCCTGCAGTGCTGCAGACAGATGCATGTTCAGAAAGGTGTCTGCACTGCGAACCTGAGGGCATGCACAACTCCAGTGTGCAATCAGTATCTGTGTTATATTGGTGAAGAGGATGGCTCAAGCATGCAAGTTGTACTTTCAGAATTCAAATGTGCTTTTTTCCCAATCTGCTCTTAACTGGAGTATGATAAGTTTTGGACAGAGCTGAAGTGTAACTGTGAGTGAAAAACAGTGACTGCTTTTTAGGCTTTTAGGACTTACTGTTCTTTCACCTGTCTATCTGCAGCCTAGCACTTGTTCTGCTTTTTCGTGCTCAATTCACAAACAAGCTCTTTGCTTCTGCAACAGAGTTAAGCCAGAAAAAAACAAACCCCAAACTATAAGCACTGACGATATGGAGAGTAAAAGCATGCTCCTTGTTTTTTCCAAACACGCAAGAATTCTTCTGAAAGAAGTAGAGAACAGCATGGGATGGGCTGATAGGTGGGAAAATCCATGGATCTCAGAACATGCAAAGCTGGGAGAGAAAGAGCAAGCTTTGCAAAAAAGCTGTGATTTAGCTGATAGATGGGATCTCTGTGGACCACTGAAGAGCAGTGCCCAGCTGAGGGAGAAGGCTGAAGACATTTCTGCCAAAAGTGTGAGAATGTACAGCAGGAAATTGTCTCTTGAAATGTAGATAGCGCAGCACCTTGCACTGTGTGTGTTATCCTGGAGCTGCCAATCTCATTATTCCTCTCAGCCTTTAAAATGCAGACAGCTCTTTGCATTCCCAACTGTTAAATCTTCTCTATTGTCTTTCCTTTGCTATTCAGACTGCTTTTGCACTGGTGCCGTGCTTCATCTCCGTGCCCTCCTCCATCTACTGTAAAACACATCCCATCTGTTACAGTGATTACGTCGGGAACTTGGCAGCTGTCTTTTCACTTAATTGTCCACATTTCTTAACATGTGCTTCCTGCAGCATATTTTAATAACAGCTCTGCAAACTGTTTTTGAGTACCTGTGTTGCAGTGGGGGGTTTCTACACGATGTGTGTACTGGGGCGGTTGGTTCTATTCACAAGTCTGGCTGCCACTCTAATTTTCTGCACTTGTAACTCTGGTTCGCCCCTGGCTATGAATGCAGACACGAGAAAACGTATCTGCCGGCCTACCTGGCTGAGCTCCCTCTACTGGCAGTGGAGATGAGCCGTCTCTCCTGAGTGTGATTCAGACTGGATTAGCTGCTCTGTCTGTTGATCCCTCTGGACCCCATGGGGAATCAAGGCTGCAGAGCTGCCCCGCTACGTTTCTCATGTTAGGAAGTGTGAATATTCCAGGCTTGGACTGCTGCATTTTTGGGAGCTGCCTCTTTTCTGCAGGCAGCATGTAGGACTCCAATATGAGAGTGCTAGGTAGTATGTGGATAGGTGTGAAACAATTCACCTTAGGGTATCCAATATTTGTTTCTACCCAGTAGAGATGCATGGATTCTCTGCCTGATCTGTATGGCAATCTATCCTTCAGAATAAAGCTTGTAATTCCTTATTCTGTACTATGGCCAAAAGGCATTGTTGATCCTTCATTGGAGTGATGCTGGGCACCCAGGTACTTTGTGCTCATCTCTGCAGTGATGTGCTTGATCTTTCCTGTGCCTTTCCTCTAGTTCTCAATTTGTTTTTCCATTTGAAAGAGGACTTTGCTGTGTCCTATAAGCTCAAAATCCCGAAGAACTCTTGGGCATAACAATTGGTATCATTATTTTCTCAAGTGTGTTGTCACTTTTAAATGAGCAGCTGCTTGCACACACAACTCCTGCACTACTCATGATTGCATTGGTTATCAAATTAGCAAAGATAAGAGCAAAACAAAAAAAGCCTGCTGAAGTAGAGTTGAAAAGGAATTCCTGGAAAAGTGTTTGTAAGAAGCAGCAATCATCACTGTGAGGTCAGCTCAGCTGGGTAATTTGACCTGAGGCTGGCAGTTAACAGGAGAAGTTAACTGAAGAGGCAGTGAAACTGAAGTAAAATGAAAATGAAAAGAAAATGAAGTTAACAGGAGAGGCAGAAACACCATATGTTAAGAGTGCGGAAGGAAATTGGACAGTTTGAAGTGGTAGGGGAACTTGTTGCATGGATTAAAACCTAGGAGCACAGGAAGATCTGTTGGGTTTTGAAAATCACTCTGGGGGTATGAAGTTAATTTCCTTCTGATTTGCTTTCAGTGCTCGGAGGACAGACCCATAGCACATGGCTTTTTGTTTTTGTTTTTTTTTACAGGATGCTTTTAATACTGAATATAAGGCCAATGTATTTTGATCTGTGATAGCATTTCTTGAGAGCGAGGATGTGAAAAACTTGAAGTTTCCATTGATTTTTAATACAGCATGTCAGATACTCTCAGAGTAAACGGGGTTACCTTTGCAACTTCTCAGGACAGTGAGCTCTTGACGTTTAACATCTCCCGGCACCAGTCGTGGTGGAGTGAAAACGGTCCTGGCTGTGTAAGGAAGGAGGCTTCGATGTCTGGCATCGCGGGACTGGACAGCCACTCCTATATCTCTGTGATAGGCTGTGCCCTGGAGTATCGCTACATTGAGGTCATGCACAGCTCCTTCCAGATCCTGATTGCGGTGAGTACGGTGCTGAGAGCGCTGCAGGGCGGTGCTTATTGAGGAGATGCTGGTTTGTTTCCAGGTGCTTGAGTGGTCTCTACTTTCCACTGATTTTTTTACATCATCTGATTGCAAAAGCTTCTGTAAATGTTCTTCTCTCTTGTGAATAATATTGCTGTAAAGATTTGGAAACGAATAGCAGAAATCTAACAGAATTATGCATCACACGCAGCCGTCCAATAACAAATCATTCTGTATCCCTGCTGGAGTGGGGAAATTTGTGTTTGAATATGGACAGAGACTCTTCTAAAGAAGGATTTCTTCTGTTCTGTGACTTAATGATGGGTGAGGGAGCAAGAATATGTGTTTTTATTGTGAAAAAGTAAAAGGGAGAAAATCCTCACTGCCAGAAAGTGAAATAGACTTTAAGGAACCACAGAAAGCAGCATGTTTTATTTCTGCTGACACTTAAGATGTGCATTAAATATTTCTATTGACTCTTTCCTCATCTGAGTTTTCCACAGTCCTTAAATACTCTGCAGTAGTTCAGTGTCCTTAATGTTCACTGTTAATTAATTGCTTCTCATTTCTCTGTAAAATTAGCTGAAGGAAAAGGTCTGCTGTCTGCCTTATTTCATGGGTGCACTTGCCTTTTGTAGCTGCAGTGGTGTTAGCAACCCACAACTTTCTAATCTGCTTTGGCTTGTTACTTTGTGGTCAGTGGCCTTAAGTACAAACTGACACGGATAGTTGAAATACCTGCATTTCAGCTTTCAGTTTTGACTTAAAAAGGAGTAACTTGCCTTGATGAAATGATAAAGGGTTGGAAATACAGAGAAACTCCAAACTTCTGGAGTTCCAAGTACTTCTCTGCACATTTTTGGTACAAATTTCCACTGTCTTCATCCTGTATTTCCTATTAGCTGGGATAATCCATGTGACCCAGTGAACTGCAGGGAGCAGGCGAGACTCGGACTCTGTTCTGGCTATGTCACACAAACCAGGCAGAGAGGGAAGTTCCTGTTTCCTGAGTTGGATGGGCTCCCTGGCTTCTATGCAGGCCGTTAATATTCTGTGAGTTTTCCTTTAGGGAGGGTGTTCCAAATCAAAAGATCTGCGAGTTGCATCAGTGCATTTGTATGAGAGAACCTAGGCATCCAAAAGATTAGAAGCTGTTTTCTTTGAGAGCTGTTAGCTGGAACAGGACTGATGCTGATGATTTGGTGCCTGTCCTGAGTTTGGTGAAGTCAGAACTTCCCAGAAATCAAAGTGTCACTGTTAGCATCCTTCCTACACATCTGACTGACACAAGTACCTGTGCCCCAGGTAGAAGCTTGGCCAACAAATGGTCCCAGGTTGGATGAGAAAGACCTTTGCTTTACATCAGCTAAATAAAACTTGAGCAGATGGCCCTAATCTAAGAGGTCACACAGATGTGTATGAGTTTGTGTCCCTGGGAGTGTTTTCTCCTTCACCTTTCATCCGCAGGACACCACAAGGGGCGGATAGAGAAACAGAAGAGGGAACTGTAAGATAAAATAAAATGTGGGAAAATATTTTCTCTATCTTTTTCTCTGGGACTTCAGTTGCAGTAGGCTTTTGCATCCTAAACACTGGAAATGAGAATACAGTACTTATATGCAAGAAAGCCACGTGGGCTGAGCTGTACAGAGTGAGGTAGATTTCTACTTGTCCTGTAATAAAAGTAGAATATTGAAGCCCCAGGCCTGTAGCTCCTGCCAGCTACAGGCATAGTTTTGTCATGTACTGGGGAGAATAGAACTACTTCTCCCTGCTTTGCTGAGGTAAGGCAGAAAGAAAGCTTTTTCATATTCTCACTCAGACCTTGCCTGAAAACAGCCAGTTCTCTCCCATTTTAGCCTCTAAGGGTCAAACTCTTCTGATCCCTTCCAGTATTTTTTGTTCCCTTTATCTCATTTTAAGGCAGACTTTATTACAGGCTGCTGTTCTCAGAGTGCCTGGCAGGTACTGCGCAGCAGGCGGGCAGAGGGGCTGGATCAATACTACAAAAACTAGGAACTGAAGGCTCAGGGGCGGCAGTGACGTGACCTAATTCCCTCCTTGTGTGCTGCACATTTGAGATCTGAATAGTCAGTTAAGAAGGGGGAGGGACAGGCAAAATTGTTGTGTTCTTCTGTTGGTTTTGCTTTGTTTAAGGGTTTTTAGAATTTGATTTGTTGTTGTTGCTGGTTTTGATTAATGATCCAGCAGTGCAATATCAGTGTTCTTTAATTATGCAGTATCTAGCTGAGGCATTCTTTGTTTTCTGGGGATACCAATTCCTTCAGAGTTTTAAGGACTATAGTACACTGTGCTGTGTACTCGGGAAAAGGTTGAGTTAATCTTGCTGAAGTTGATCTTACATGCCAGAGGAAAGAGAAAGCAAACCCTAGGCCATATGGTAACCACAGTGACGGCTGTCATCTTGACTCCTGCTGTGGCTGTATTATCCCACTCCTGTGCATATATTTGAAGAGTATGCATAAGGTCTCACTCTACTTTTGTTTATAGCTTGTCTGTATTTCTTGAAGGCAAAAACGACTGCTTTAATATGGAGTGGGATCAAACTTTGGCATATCAGTCAACAGTTATTCATGACATGAATAGCTGTATGGCCCAGTATGAAAATCTTGCTTGATTCTTTAGAATAGAAGATACTGGAAGAGAAAAAACTTGTTAGAACAAAACTTCTTCAAATCAGTACTAGTATAGAAATGTCACCATACATGTAATCCTACCAACCCAATCAGGAAATGCAACAGCAACCAAAAAATCTGTTTTGTATTCTTAGCAAGGATTTATCTTGCATCTCCCCATCTTGCTAGCCAGCAGGGAGAGGAGTGATTTCTGATTTTGAAATATGTGGTGTAGCTCTGGGCTATCCATATGGTAGTTCTGGGAGTTGGAGGGTTAGGCTTTTCCTGAGGCTCTGTTGAATGGGGTGGAAATTGGAAATCTCTTCCCTTTGCCTGCCTGTCTGCTGTTTTCACTCCAACTGACAGGTTGGAAGGTTCCCAGGAAGGCAGCAATGCAAGATTTGACAGCAGATGTTATGTGAGAAGCAAGGCGCAGGAGATGCTTTGCTGTTGGCAGAAACTAGATTTTCAGTGGTTGTGACTGCATCCAAACAGTAAAGAGGTCAGGGAACCAAAGCATTTTGCTCCATTTGACTTTTTGGTCATAGTAGTTTTTTTTTTTTTCACAGGCTGGTTTTTGCTTTTTGTGAATTGGCCAGAGATTTCTGTATCTATATATCCTTTTGCACTGAGAACATACATGCTTCCTTAGCTTTGATTAGAAGTGAAACATGGAATTCATCTGCACTGAAGAAGGGGATTCTGAATGTATTGTTTTTGGTGGGGGAAAAAAAGGAATCGCAGGTTTCTCTTTTCTCTGGAGGGAAGAGTTGAAGAGACCAGAATTTTTTACTAGGACGGATGTAAGTTTAAAGCTAAGATTTTACACAAGCAATGGTAACACCTCCTAAAATTTGTCTTCCCATTTTTCATGTATTTTGTACACTTGTAGCCAGATGGTCTATTTCTTTAGCTCTTCCTGTAACTCAATGTCTGCGGCTCCAATACTTTCAGTGCTTCTTTTCCATGAGGATTATTCAAATTTGCTATTAAAAAGTTACTTGAGGTGACTGAGGAATGAATTTCTTTTCTTTATAATTTTGGGTACACTTGTCATCTCTGCCTTTCTTGCTTTGCTGACTTGCCCAAAGAACATTTAGGACATCCCATATCCATCCTTTCTCATTCAACAGTGTGTGTGTTCCCAGGCTGTCTGACAGACTGACTGAACACACCTGTCTGCAACATGTGTTCCTAATAAAAAGCTTAATCGGATACTTGTGCAGCCTGGAGGAAGCTGGTACTGAACATGCAGAGCACGTGGAGAAACTGCAGCAGAGGCTGAAGCCCAAGAACATTCTTTGGGGAATTAGAGCAATAGCTTAGTGTCATTTTTACCTCACTAACTTTTCAGTATTTCACAAGTTCAATTGGCTTATTTCCTCCTCTTCCACCTCCCCTATATAATTTGTAAAGATCTAAGAATTACTGCTATTCCCTGAGACAGTAGAGCTCAAAACAAAGTCTTTCTTACTGAAATGAGCAACAAAGATTGTGTTTTGAGCAGGTGTGAAGTTGCATCCAAAGTCTTGGCCTCTGCAGCTTTCTTCTGTGTTAACTGCTGCTAACCTTGGTGATGCCTGGGGGTTTGAAATGTCTCCTTCAAGAACTAAATCAGAAGGGCACCACTGGTATCTTTTGGAATCTGCTCACTCCATGTTCTAGTAGACTCCTCCAGTGAAAGAGACCAGATAATAGGAATGGCAGTCCTCCCCTCTAGCTATCTTTCATTCACAATTCATGTAGGTGGCAAGATGCAGGGAGTCCCAGGAGTTCACTAAATCCCTGAGGTGATATTTTTAATTATGGTTTAGGTCAGCCAATGAAAATCCAATTCATGTTCCTGTTGTTTCTTCTCTCATTTGTCACTGAAGCTATCCTGTTCTGGACAGGCTGCAAGACTTTCTTGAATTAAAAAGAAAATATTACATTGAATAAGCAATTTATTATTGATGAAACTCTTGTCAAGAAGGAAGGGGTTATTAGATTAATGCAAGAAAATATTAAACGTGAATAAAGTCATTTTGAAACAATCAGGAGCTGAATAAAAACAAAACTCCCCACTCTAATGGAGCTGGAGTTAGGAGTTTCCTGAAATGGATATCAGAAATTGCAAACTTAGATAAGGTTGGTGTGTGTGTGTATGTTATAGCATACAGTAATAGTGGATGGATTCAGAGATGCATTTTGCATGGTTATTACCCCAAAGCTCCTACTCTAAGGCGTGACAGGAAATTCTGGGAAAAGAGAAGACCTCCCTTGGATTTCCTTGGAATCAGAGCATATGTTCAGGATGCATCTTTCCTGCTTGGATATGTGTGTGCATGTAAATCACATGCTTTGACCTTACATCTTGTGATGTATCTTGCTGGATCTTTAAGCTTAAATACATATGGCAGAGCAATCGCAAAAAATACGCATAATCACTCTCCTAATTTGATTCTGAGGTGACTGCAAACGCACATCAGAGACAAGAGCATACAGTAAAGTGCTTAGACGTCCACTGAATGCTGTGCCGACTTTAAGCTGAAGCATTTTATTTTTCCAGGAGCATTTATAAGGGTTTGCGTTGCTGGCTTACAGTCACTTGTCTGGGCGCGGCTGGGGCTGGCAATGCGGGCCCGCTTCAGCACCACGGCCAGCTCCGCCACTCGCTCCGCGGCCCGAAGGAGGGAAGCGAAGCCGTTGTTGGTGGCACGAAAAGAGCATGAGAAGTAGAAGATGTCTGACTGTTCTGGCCCTTGTTTGCTTTGTTCGCTTTTAAAAAGAAATAGCTCTGTTTGGAGGCGATTGTCAAAGTCAGCAGGTAAAATCAGCTGGTCAACATGTGCGGCCTTGCTGTTTCCAGCATGCCTGGAAGGACTTTTTTCTGAGCAAAGTTTGCTGCAGTTTATAGAAACGTAGCGTGAAGCAGCACTGGTTTTCAAAATGCACAACAAGGGAAACGTGGAATGCATAGGGCCACCTCTCCTCCACCAAGGTACTGGGATATGTTTTGATCAGATTCACCAGAGATAAAAGAGAGCTAGCTTGTCTCTTATGTGATTATAGGAGATTGTAAAGGAGATACAAGGCTTAGTGATGCTATGAAAATATTCCATTTCCTTCCAACGAGGTGTTTTTTGTCTGAGAGAGCATGGGAAATCAAGGATACCTTATAACTCCCCAGTAGAAATCTCATTAACTTGCCTTTTGTTTTCTAGTGTGATGTATGCTTCTGTCATATTAAAAATGAATGGACTCTACTTTTCTGGGTTCATCATGCATCATTCTGTCTTCCCATAGAGTGAGTCACTGTATGTTACATTCTAACTCTTGTTCAAGAAAATTGAGTTCACAGTGGAAAACAATTATGTCTCACAATAACTTTACTAATACAGTTACTGTCAACCAAGATACTGCTAAGTGGGGTGTTTTGTGAAGATGTAAAATGAAGGATGGGGAGGATATTTGATTAACAGAAAGAAGGCAGAGCAAAATAAAACCTTGCTGGATCTGGAATGTTTAACTCCCATAGTACCAAGAGCTTGTTTCTCTGTTCAGGCAGGGTGAAAACTTGGTACTGAGATGGAACGAGACAGTTCTGACTCGTTAGAACTTCTACAGACTGGCAACTAAGCACAGACTCACTAGGCCACCATAAAGTGCTTTTTAATGTTCACTCATGTTTTCTGCTCTAAGTGCTGCACTGAGCAATCAGTTGACAAGATGGTCACACCACACCAGGGTAGGTGTTACTTGAGAGGCACCCTGTTGTTTTACTGTTCCTGTTTCTATCTGGTTCCTAGGAAGTGGCAATTTCCTGCTGGTCTATGCAATGTGTGAATTAAAACCATTGCTATTGCCTTGCTTGTTTTTCACCATGCTCCAGCCATTTACTTTGCGTGCCCAAAGCTTGATTACCTCATGTGGAAGTGTTTATTCTCCAAAGATAGAGGGGTATGTAAAAAAATGTGGACCTGAAGTAAGACTGGAATTTTCTTCCGATGAATTTTGATCTCCAAGCCTAACTTAGAAAATATCTCAGCAGTTCTGAATGTTACTGCTGGTATATCACTGATTTTCTGGTTAACTAAGATTCTATGTCATCTGCATAAAAACTACTCTCATCTTGCTAGTAACTCCTTCACCCAAGTAATTTCTCTACCCTTCCGTGCCATTTATTACAGAAATACAAAGCTGATGAATTCTTGTTCCTGTTAATAACATCTAGTGCTGTGTGTCTGTCCTGTATACAGACATCAGGCTCACCCTTGCATCCCCATCACTTCTTATTAAGAGTTAATGTGGAAGTTCTTGTATTAAAAAAAAAATGCAGCCCATGTTTTTCCCAATCATTCTGGCAACAGCAGGTCTCTATTCTGAAGGTGAGGACGGGTCTTGCAAGTATTTTGTTTTGAGCTCTGACTGTGCTCCCTGCAGTGTCTTCATCTAAGACACCTACACCTGCACTCCATTCCTTACAATAAATATCACTTGGCTACACCATTTCAGTAGCGCTGCCAAGCGGAGAATAAATATTGGCTGCTAAAATCATGCCAAATAAGTTCTGACCAGCCTTGCAAGATTGATGCTGAAATGATTTATTCTCTCTATTTTCTAGCTGGTGGGTTTTGTCTACGCCTGTTACGTTGTTAGTGTTTTTACAGAGGAAGAAGACAGCTGTAAGTATTTATCAACAGATCCTTTGGCAAAGATTTTATTCAATTTTCTTTCTCTCTCAGATGTTTATCTGTCAAGGATGAGTTGCCATAAGATCTCTTTCCATTTCTCCATCCATGTGATGTGGTACTACCAACCATTCAAAAACTGGATATTTTTCTGTGATATTTTTTCCCCACATCACTAAGTGTTAATATAATCCAGTTACTCCTCCAGGACTTCTTCAGCTGAACAGTAATACCACTGAAATGCAACTAAGAGAACCTATAGCAAAGAATGCAGCTTTATATTTAACTGGACCACCTGCCAAAATATGATGAGGATAAAGCAGAACATGAGATTTGTTGCCAAGAACCAACCTGACCTTAATTTAAAAGCAAAAGTAGCATATGTGAATCACAGGAAGGATGAGGGAGCTGACTCCGTTGTGTTTGGTAGGCAAATCTCTCAAGTGTCATGTGTTCTCTGTGATGGGGCAGAAAAGAAAATTCAGAGAAATCACGTGGATGGTTGAGTCTGTAGGATCTATACAGATACCTATAGCCTGGTCCTAGGTTATTGCCCTTCTTAAACTCCCCTTGAGAGCAGTACTTTCATACACAATATAAATGGATGCATAGAGTTCAAATGAATGTGAAATCTGATTTCAATCGCAATATTTTGCCTTTGTTTTTCAGCTCTCAGAATGTTTAAATTGGAACAGCCTTAAGGAAATCAGTGGGTCTAGGCCAGTTTACTCTAGGTCAGGATCAGATTCAAAGGCTTTATATCCAAATATCACTTCCTTTAGTGCAAATAGCTCTGTTGTTTTAAAGAACAGCTGGTATGGATGTTAGCTGAAAAATGACAGCTTTGAACTGGATATCTTGAAAGTATGTGAAAAATGTTGGTTCACATGGGTGAGATGAGATACATTTCTTATCTGACTTGTTCTCATGTTTGGCTGTTGTTTCCTACGTGGCTGAACTCCTTCTATGATTCTACTGGCTTTATTGATCATTTGTTCAGAACTTGCAAATGCATTTAGTGAAGGTGTTACATTGTAAGTAATATCTTTAAAATTACCCTATAGCTCTCTAATTGGCTAAATAACTTGAATTCAGAGCCTCTTTTGAATATTGTGAATTAACAACTTGACAGGGCTTATGTTAGGATGGGGAGAGGCAATCACATGGAAGGAAGCATTATCTAGAAATACAGAGCTGTAAATTTCAGGATATGGTTTGTTGTTTTTTTTCCCCACTAACATATTCTTTTCCCCTCCCAGTTTCTCAGCTTGGAGTTAAAATGTCAGCTTGAATAATTAACAATGACAAACCATCAATATTTCACACTCACAGTGGTAGATCCTTCCAGTGACCCGAACAAATCTGAGCTGTGTTTTTAATTTTCTTTTCCATTTGTGGTTTCCTTTAAATGTTCCTTTGATATGCAGCATGAAGTAATTATAAGTGCTGAGGCACATTAATCAGGAAGCTCATGCTAACGTGATTTTCATGAGAAAACACAGCAGTAGGGACCTACTAATGCTGAACTGTGGGCAAGAATATTTTAGACATGCTAGTGCACTCAGATATATTGGTGGTAGCACAGTGATCCATGGTTAAGACTTTAAAGGGATGCAATAGGATGCTCAGTTGAATTGGCTGCTGTTTGTGCAAGGTGCAAGACCTTACTGAAAATTCTGTGTTTTTAGGGTTTTCTAGTTTAGATGTTTTCAAATGAGGTGTTTTTATTTCTTTAATGTAATTAAGTTTAAGTCTCACTGGAACTACTAGGAATTATCCCCCCAGTCTACTTAGAACCTCTGCAGACTTACCATTAACCCACAGTTCCAGAATCACAGTATCAGCACGAAGCTATTCATTAACATGGAATTTGTGAGGATACGTTGTGTCTGAGTTTCTAAATGTATTTCCAGAGTTTTTTTCCTATCGTATGTATTCAGTAAATATTTTTTTCTAGTGTTTGTTCATTTAAAAAACAAAACCGTCAAACTCATCAGCTAAAATCTAAAATAATAGTGCCACCTTCAGGAAAGTAAAAGGCATTCATATACTTAGCAATGTTCCAGTCATATTTAAATGGCATTTGAATGGGGTAGCTTTCACACTTCCAAACAAGATTCCCTAACTCAGCACCAGACAGTGATGTGGATTGGATAAACATTACAGGCTTTTGCAGGGCCTGCTAGGTCAGTCACAAATTGCACCACATCTTACCCTACTGATCCAGCTATGTTGGTCAGCTTGGTAATAAAGACTTGGCCTAATTTCATGCGAACGAAGAGAGACTTGGAGAAACTTTCCATGGTTACTGAGGGAATTGTCACTTAAAGCATTCCTTGCTTAGTTACATTGCCCTTTTGTGAATGCTGGAGAAGGGAAGCATTGTTTCTCTTTGTATACAATTAAAAGAAATTGAGTTGGCAGAGGGGACCTGAAAAATATCAGAACTGAAGATAATGGAGTATTATCTACGGTTCTCCAAAGCTGCTGCAGTCTGTCTTGCAGGAAAGACAAGTGGGGCAATAAAATACCCATTTCACTGTATAACCTTCAAGGGGACTGCTGGCCTGCCAACTTCTCTGCTGGCATTTAGTCTCCAGCCAGTCCCCAGCTTCCTTCTTTCAGCATGTGCTTGAATGGCTGAGGCTTTGTCAGCTCAGTTATCATACAAAGTCGCAGTATGGTGGCAATACCCAAGGAGCCTGAGGGAGGTTCTTGTTTTTCTGGAGTCTTGTTTTGGTTTGGTTCTTTTGTTACCTCTGCACTTTAAGTCTGATGTTAGCTGATCTCCTCCTTGGCATAGAGGCTGTCCTAAAAGATCCAAGAAAAGAGGTCTATACAGGCAGAACTTTCCATTTGGCAATCATACCTGGTAAATCTTTTCTTTCTGTCTCTGCATTTTTTTTTTGTTATGCCATGACACATGCCTACTTTTCCTTTCATTTCCTTTCAACTTTCTGGCCATGTTTGTTTATTTATTTGAGTTTTGATTTTTTTTCAGTTGATTTCATTGGTGGATTTGATCCATTTCCTCTCTACCATGTCAATGAAAAACCCACCAACCTTTTGTTCAAGCAGACATACCTGTAAGTATCATCTCCTATGCTAAGAGGCAGTGCGTGTCTCTGTATTTGATGGCTCAAGGGTGCCACGGGTTTGGATTTTTTCCTTCTCACAGGTTGATTTGTCCAGCAGGTTTTTCAGACATGCAAGGAATGAATAAGTTGTAGAACACCAGAAAGGATGAAACTGTCTCTGCCCACCTCCTGCCTACAAGGGTGAAGCTTGTGTTGCCATGCTCAGGTTATGATAGTGCAGTTTGAAGGGACACATTTGTGCTAGCTGCAGGATGCAAACTAGTGGATGCATTTTCCTTGAAGAAGGCAAAGAGAAACTTCTTAACAACCAGTGCTGTCTGAGCAGGCACAGGTAGAAGCCATGAGGAGTGAAAGTCAGCCTCAGTGAATGCAGAGAATAAGTCATAGCAACAGCAGAATGTGATTCTCAGTCTTGAAGTTGAATGATGGTATGTCAGGTTAAGCTTGAAGTACAGGATAAAATATATGCAATTGCTAGTTATTTAAGCCATACTTTAGCTCTGTGGGCAGTCACAGCTGAGCTCAGACCTATGCATTGATGCAATTTTGATGATTGGCCATCCTTCCATCACGTTGTCACAAATAGCACTGTTAAATTTGACTTTGTCTTGCATACGGAGTCTTCCTGTATCTGTCTGTGCTTCTAAAGATCTTCTAAGCAACAAAACTATCACACCACCAAATTAAAATGAGTGTTAGACTGTTTGTATGCAGGGCACGTTTGCTCTTAAGGTTTCAGCTTTGTTGTCACTGTTCTTCTAGGCAACAGAGTTTCTTGTATGCATGTGGCATCCCAAGAGCTCAGTGGAGAGGGGGGCGCTGGAAGGCCGATCATCCTAAGCAGTTCCTCTCACGCCACTGTGTTAGAGACATTAAATTCCAGCTTCTGCCCTCTGCTAATCCCCTCCTGCTGCTGAAGGCACAAGAGCACACTTTCATGCAGTCCACTTGAAAGCTGGTTATTAATGAGATTCTCAAACATAAAGGCCAGTATTATCTGTTTAAAGCAGCAGTAAGATCTGAACTTTTGATGCTTCTTACAATGAGCTGCAAGAGGGCAGTTCAACGTGCAGAAACTTTTAAAAGCAACTGCTAAGGGAGGTTGGTTTTGGGGAATAATGTTACCAAAGAGCTCTTCCAAAAATGGGTGGGTAGGAAAGAAAATTAGGGTAAAGGGAATAAAAACCACCTCAAAATAGATTTGTAGATGTGGCCCTGTAATGTAGTAAGAACTTCACGCTTTGTCACTGCAGCACACAGCACAAAACCTGGAGAACAAGTCATTTGTGCAAAGCAGATGAATTCCTTGTAACTTCGGGGGTGCAATGACATTATTAGAAAAGATGCTATAGGAGATTAAATATTGATTTTCCTCTCACTTTGTCACAGTGAGATGGAATTTTCCACAGTCGGCAGAAGCTTTGGAACTTCTTTAGGTAGCTCCCTGATTTACTAGCTTGATGCAGTAGTGTATTTCTATAGTATGATGTTTGGGTTGCTTTTTTCCCTTAAAAATGACTATTCTGTTTAAAAAAAAAAAAACTATGACTTAGAAATCTTCATTTATATACAGGAAGATTATAATCCCCATTGAGAAACTAGAACTGCAAAACTTCCTTAAAAGAGTCTTCATAAGCTACTAATAATTCCTTTCTTCATTTCCATTATTCAGACCATCACTCACATACTGATAGCTTCTGCCAGCACAGGATAATATTTTTCTGGTTAACTGGAGGTGAAAACAGCTGCTGAGGAGTAGATAAGTTGACTCTCTATAAATTTCATAACAGCCACCAAATACTAACTCTTGTTTATTCTGGACTAGCTATTGCCTCTCTTCCATATGCAGAAGTGGGAGTAGAAGTGGATACTTGATTCTCAGCTAATGATGAGGTAGAGCTTTGCAGTATGGGGTCATTGAGGGCCAAATCCTCTCATCACTTAATACAATGACTGAAGACATTTTATACATTTCCAAGAAGATGCATAACAACAAATATATCCAACTTCTTTCAAGTTGAAGCTTTTAGAGCAGAAAGGGGTGAGGAACACATGCTTTTTGTTCTCCCTTCTTTGTTGAAGGAAGCCTTGCATGAAACCAGATCCACTATAGCTACTGACTGAGCAAGCTGCTGCTATGAACTTGCTTTCATTTTAGGATGAAATCTGCCAGTAGTCAACTTCTCCCTGATAGCAGCCCTGCTGCCTTAAACAGGACCACTTCAATTCATTCCTTGTCCAATGGGATTGTAGTCTTCACACCAGTTTCACCTATCCTTTGCTGATAGGATCACATTCCTTCCTCTCCTCTGCCCTCTGACTCAGCCTTGCCCTGGCTTGCCTATTTCTCTAGTCTCTTATCTCTTGAAATCTATGGATTTGAACAGAGCAATGATATTAGCCTACTCTGCTATGCATAGCTGAAGTGTGAGACCAACCCCCACAGCTTCTGTACTGAGTACTCAGCCTATGAGTTAGATAACTTTTAAACAAAGGCTTACATTAATCTATTGTAGTGATTCAATATCAGAGATGTGCATCCTATTTCCAGCCTTCAGCTTCTACCCCTACCACTGAAAGATGTTTTTAAGTAAACTTTTGCCTTGTATTAAATCACCTCCCCAAACTATTATTGGTAACTGAGCTGGGATCTGGCAGTATCTGTTATCAGCTTGCTTTATCTCTGAATCTACTACTGAACTCAACTTCAGTCCAGTTGCTTGCTTTTCCATTAACTGGAGCCTTGCAAGTGGTCAAAGCCAGCTGTTACTTTTATTAAAAAAAAAAAAAATCACTGACACTTTTGTACTTTGCTTACAAAGGCATGATTTAAATAAGCTTCATCTTACTTAGTCTTTCCACTACTCAGAGGGCAACAGTGATGTTCTATAAATACAGTTATTTCTATTTCAAGTTCTACAACTGCTTCTGTTCTACATTTCACTGACTGTGGGGAGGTTTGGTTCCTGCTTCAAGTCACAAGCTTAAGAAAGAGACTTCTAGAAATTCCACTGTATAGATGAGATGCCCTTAATCTCAACACACTGCATTAAGTCTTTAACAATAAAAATACATTAGGAATCCTTTTAGATAGAAGTTACTTTCTGGGTGAAAATATTTAACCACACAACAATACATCAGCTACTGAAAAACCAGTTTCAAGTGGAAAGAAGGAAAGGCTGAGCTCTTGCTTTTCATTAGTGAAAGTTCAAACTCAGGCTGTGCTTTTTTCCACCACTGTCTTCTCCTAGGAGTCATAGGAGAGGATATCAGTGCAGGACTGCTTTTCTTATTTTGTCTTTGCAGTAACAGAATTATCACTTGAAGCAAGGAAAAGCATTCTGTAACTGCAGAAGGGTCAACAAACATAGCCTTGCAGTTTCTTTCTAAAGCTGTTATCTTCAAGTAATCTGTAACGCCTGCCAAGACAGCAGGAGGTTCAGATCATCCTGATAACCAGCACTTCCTGCAGGCTGTAGCCATTCTTCTGACATCTCAATTTGTTTCAAGCATCAATGCTATGTAAACTCAGTTATAAAGCAGAAGTCTTGTAGCATAGTTTTGGACATTATTCAATGCAAAAAAAAAAAAAAAAAAAAAGAAAGAAGAAATCAAGAACTCACTAGATGTCAGGAAACAACCTCTATTCATTTTAAAGATATAGAGAAGGGCAACACACCTCCCCACCTTTGAATGCCATACTTCCAGGATCAGCAACAAAACACAGCTTAAGGGCTCCTGCCCATAGCATAAATGGAAGCTGGCAGTCTGAGTACTGCATCACATTAGTAAATTACAGCTTTAATTTGATTTTAGTTACATAGCTTGACTTCACTAACCCTGCTTCCCTCACATCCACCTCTCTGAAAAGCCATAGGGTAACAAAGGGTGTGATTTTTATCAGTTGCTGGCTTCAGTATTGATAGGATAGCAACAGGAGGCACTGGTTGATTGCATGATTACAGGCTCTGTTGTTAACTGCTCACTTTGATAACTCCTAATCAATTCTTTATGGTGCAGTCAGTCTGCTAGCCATAGGCATGAAACAGCTGTGGGTATGCAGTTACAGGAGTAGACTGCATGTAACAGAGCAGGTTGAAAGTAGGTTCTTCAGTACAGCAGACAGGTATGAAACAATGGGGGAGGGAACATGAAAAAACTAAATGAAAAACTAAAACGACCTTTGGAGGAAACAAAAACAATGAAGTCCTAACTGTTTTGACGATCAGAATGCTTTACAAAGGAAACCTTTACTGGAACAAGAAAAAAGAGCCCACTTTGGCAAAACCAAAGGAAAGCTCCACATACACAAATGGTTCTGCTTTTCTTTCTAGGTAGAGTTCCCTCCCAAACAAAAAATAAAATAAAAATTGCTGACTATCAACCTGAAGCTGCATGTTTAAAGAGGTGATGATTCAGCTGAAAACATTCTCATCTTTACTGCTGGCTACAAAAGTAGATATGCTTATGCTTCTGCACTGAAACTGCAGTGATATGCTTTTTTACAGAGCTACTTTATTCCAGAGATGATCCCTAGCTTTTAAAATTCCTAACCAAGTTTTATGCATCTCCAAGGCTCACAATCCATGGATCTAACACTTTGGCTCACATTTATTCCCTGCTCTAACTGCAGTATATTCGAGTCTGGTATATGCATAATATTCTTCCCAGATTTGAAGATGACTTAACCACACTGTATCTGATTCCTCAATCCTACTCTTTATCTGTAGTCACCCATATTTACAAGCTTGGAACAGAAAAAACAATTTTGTCCTTATTATTTCCAGTTACCTTAAGTAACAAAAATGTTTTGTTCTGCATTAATATCCTGCCTTGGCTTTTTCTCCTCTACAGGCCTGCGTAAATGAGGAGGAGCCAGAGGATGGATAAATCTTGCACTCCACCAAAGGTGCTGCAGGAAATAATCCCCTGTGGCCTGGGTCTATGGCAGAGGAAATGCAGGATGGTGAACTCCATTCCACTTTTTGTTCCTTGTCTTCTTTTCAAATGAAATGAATGTACATTGAAGAATGACCACACAGTCTGTTCTTAACTCTACAAGTGCCCTGATGAACCATTCCTACCACACTGGGTGGTTCTAGCCAAATGGCACAGACTGGAAATCCTCAGGCAGAAGTTCACCAGGAGCCTGTCTCAAGAGATGCAGGAGAAGTCGGAGCTGCTTCCTTCCACCATGGATCCACAGAGAAGGAAACACTGCAACACCCTGGGACATCTCATGTTTTGTAGTTAGTTTCTTCCCTCTCTCCTTTCCTCAGTCTGGAAAGAGCCTAAATCCCCTTAATACAACTTCAGCTTTTCCCTGCCTGTATAAAACTAGGCAAGGGCTATTTGAGTTTAGGCTCTCTTACACACCCCACCTTTTTTTTTTTTAATGTTGTAGATAAGAGATCTGCCCTTTCTCCCTTTTATCCAAGACTCCCTCATTCTCTACTCCTTAGTAGTAAGAAATTTGTCTTGGATTCTAACATTGTGATTTAACTACTATAAATGCTGAACAGCTAAAAAAAAAAAATGAACTAGTCCAATTGCCAAATCTGTACTTGGTATGAACTTAAACCCATTGCAACATGCCAAACTTACAGCAGCTAGAGCCTACTCTGGGTTTGTCTACCCACATTAAGTTACTGGTATAGCCACGTGCACAACTGATACCTGCTGCAGGACACTGGTAAATGCCTAGTTCCTCGTGGATCATGTTTTTGTATCTGCTTTCTTTGCCAAGCAGCCACACTTACTCCAGGCACAGGCCCAACAGCTTCCTGCTGGAAGGTATTTTTAATGACAGGATAATTTTGAGGGGAGGGAGTGGGGAGGAAGAAAGGGGCAATAGAACTGTAATTAAGTTGCATTAATAAGCTGCAGCAAATAATTAAAAAGAAAAAAACAGCATCCCTTTTGTTAGTTACATCTTCCAGGATGTTAAGCCTCAAGCAGGGGAAAGAGTGCTTGTCTGCCATCCATGGCTTTCTTTGGCTGAAGCATTCCACAAGCTGTTGTAATTCTTTGTGTTGTCTAGCCTAAAACCATTTGGGATTCTTGAATAATGCTTTACAAAAGAGCCAAGCCAGAAGCCAAGCTAGGGAAGCAAAGTGCAAGGAAGTGATTAAAAAAATAAAAACATTAAGTGCTAAAAGTCAAAGATACAATGATGCACTTTTCTTTGTACCTCCTCTAGTTTTTGTTAGCAGAAACATTTATCCTTTGTACTCTGACAAAACTCTCCTACTGGTCTGCTTGCAGTAGACTTACCCTAACTACTGCAAGACTACACAATAACCCCATAATCTGCTAGGGCAGCGATTTGTAGATGCCTGCATCTCCAGCATGCCACGAGATGAAGGAGCAACAGTTTTTTTTTCTCCACAAGGGGGTTCCTTTAGCAGAGGCTAGGAGTGCCCTCTATTGGGGATAGGTAGCACTTGGGACTTCAACCAGCAAAAGAAAAAAAAATCCAACTTGTACCTGCTCCTGAAGGGACATTTTTTCCCATAGAAACACTTAAAAACCTACAAGAAAATCCCAGAAATAGCTGGGCAATTTCACACCCTGTAGTCCTTTTGATGCTCGGCTACGTTCCAGGCTCTGAGCTGATGTTTAAGAGGAAATAACACTGCTCCAACACTGAGCTACTTTTCACTCCCCCCTTCACAGATTAGCACATCCACTTTAAATGCAGGTAGCTTTTGCTGTTATTTATAGTGGCAAAATAAAGCCAATGGTAGCTTGAACCCTGCCACAACACTTAGTTTAGCACGGTGATACAACTCTTCCCTACAAGAGCTGCCAGATACCAAAGATCCACCAACTCTCAGAGTTTGAGAGTTTAACCTGCTCAGCTGGTGGTTTCATCTTTGCCATGAGCTGCATTAGAATTACCTTCTCCTGAAAAGAAAGATGAAGAATACTTCCCTCTCACATGGCCTAGGGATGAGACTTCAGTATCCAGAGTTAGAGCCTGTGCTCCAGTCTCCATAGATGCTATTTAAGAGACAGGTACTGAAGTTCTCCATCAATTTCAGATGAAGAATTATTCTCACCTACACAACTTCACATACCTGGACCTTATCCTCCCTTGCCTTGCAGCCAGGAATCTGGAGATCCCACACTGTCTTCTGTATTTCAAAGGAAATTAATGGACGGTAAGAATCTGCTTCTCCCACTTACGAGTTTCCATCCTTCACAACCATATCTATGCCTGGCTCCCCTCTAATGTTCCAGGATCCCACCCCCACCAGTAGGACATTATACTGGAATCAGATACTCAGACCTTCATAAGACAAGCCTTTTATTCAGTTAAACAGAACAGAAAAATTTAAAAACACCTTCCCTGCAGTTAGCATGCTTACAAGCCTGTTACTACATGATAGAGTATTATATTTAAATTAAAAACTGGTTTAGCCAGCAAACAGAAGCCCTAAGAAGAGTTTTCTTTGAAAAAAATTCTCTTAGCAAAAGATTAGTCCTTAACAGCCAGTGAAGAGGCCTCACAAGAAAGTTTCAGATCCTGTGACTGAGAGCTCCAGAGAGTCTCTCAACATCTGCCTAGAAGGATAATGAGCTGAGAGCAAAGAGGCTGGAAAAACAGAGCAGAGTTAAGTAGATTTGAGTACTGTTAAAAATAGTTTCTCCAACTGTTGAAAATTCAACAGAAAAAAAAACAAACAATTCAACCTCAGAAGAGCTAGATTCTCCTTTCTACTTCCCCCTCTCAATACATTCCTACTGAGTATCCTAGCTACAACTGACTGCATTTGGTATAAAAATACTCGAACTTTACCCACACTTCTGAAGGAATCCATCAGCCCTAGCAGGATATTCTCTAAACTACTAAATGAAGAGAACCAGACAGACAGCTGAAAACAGCTCTTGATTTCAGTGCAGAAAAGGGATTTGTTTGAGAACAAGTATTTGGAGGATTACCTCCAGCAAAAACCTCATTTTGAAGGAAAAAAACTGGCATAGCTTTTCTGGAGCAGTCCTACAGCAAGATCAGAGCTAATCATCAGCTCTTACTGGAAGCACTGCAAGAAAGGAGTTTGCAGGATAGCTTGGCCTAAAACAAGACTGCTCCAGTAACAAATTGTTTCTTTCTCTGCTGGCATAGGAGTGTATTTTAGACATTTATTTTTCCTTTTTGCACACTGTGGTTCAGGACATGAAAGTCCTCACACTTCCTCGGATGACTGCTCTGCAGATAGGACACAGTCTCAAGTTGAGGGCACATTCTCCACAAGCTACCAGATGGCCACAGGGAACGAATACAACAGACACATCCCTGTCCATGCACACTTTGCACATCCTTTCCTCTTGCAAGCGTCGGAGCTGTTCTTCTGTGCTCAATGGAGACTCCTCTTCACAAAAGAAAAAAGAAAACCCATAGTGTTAATGCTGTAACAGCTCTAGAGAGCAGATCATTACATTAAAAAGTCAGATCAACTGCTCATTTTTTCCAGAAAGACAGCAGAAGTACTTTTCTCAAGTAGATTTCACTTAAGCATTATTAGCTACAGCTGTTATGAACTCCAGCTTATCTGCTTAAGACTTGGC